GACTGGACTGGTTCAGTTTTGCACGAAGGATCAGCCGACTTGAGAGAAGCAAAATAAGTCTAGAAGTCAAGGTAAGTCAGAATGTCATAGGAAAAAAAGGAAGTCCAGGCCCAGAACAGCCGAAGCCGAGGGGTTTGGATTCCCCTCGCAGCGCACATAGAAGGACCTTTCAGGTAAGTCAACGGTCGTTCTCCTGTGCGCTGCTTGGGGAATCCAAGCATGGGACATGCCAAAGCAATAGACTTCAGGGGAGGGAGCAAGGCTGGTCTGGTGCTGTAGCCGAAGAAGCTACCCTTTGCAGCATGCGCCGTCCAATGGATGCCTCAGCTGAAGCATAAACGTCCACCTTGTAGTGACGGATAAAGGGTGACGGTGATGACCAGGTCGCTGCCCTGCAGATGTCCTCCAGCGAGGCTTGCGTTGCCCAGGCCGCCGTCGTGGCCACACTCCTGGTAGAATGGGGAGTGATGCAACTGGGAACCGGTCAGGACTGACAGTCGTAGGCTAGAGCAATACACGCCTTCAATCAGCGGCCGATGGTATGCAATGATGCCTTTTGGCCCATGGTGGCAGGTTGGAAAGACACAAACAGGGCCTCCGTCCTTCTGAACGACGCTATGCATTGCACATAGCGGCGAAGTGAACGACGAACATCGACATGATGCCAATGCCGTTCTCGGGGATGAGATGGCCATGGACAGCAATCCGGGAGAGTGATCTCTTGTGACCTGTGGAACCACAAGTTGACTTTTGGAAGAAAGGTTGAATCCAAACGTACTACGACCCTGCTCGGATGAAAAATACAGAGGTCATCCTGGACGAGAGCACTGCCAACTCGGACACACGCCTGGCTGATGTGATGGCTACTAAAAAGATAGTCTTAAGGGTCAGTAACCTGAGGGAGATGGTCTGAATAGGCTCGAATGGAGCCGCCGTAAGGGCATTGAGTACTAGGGAGAGGTCCCAGGTCGGGTAGCGATGAACGATAGGCGGACTAAGGTTTGCCGCTCCCTTCATGAAGGCCCGCACCCGTGGGTGTCGAGATAGGGGTGGCCCCGCCCACCGCCAATCACTGTAGACAGCCGCAATTTGACGGCGGGGGGTGTTAGGTGTTAGCCCTTTGTCCATGCCCATCTGTAGGAAGTCCAATACCTGTGGTATGGTTGCCCCGGTTGGGTCCGCACCTGTTGCTCAACACCATCTGCAGAAGGCATGCCAGGTAGCCTCATAGATGTGGGTTGTTGACGAGCGGCGAGCCGCCTGGATCATGGAGATGACCTTATCAGAGAAATGCTGATTCAGGATCGCCTGCTCACGTGCCACATGGCTAACTGTAACAGCTGTGGATTCGGGTGGACAAGGGCTCCTTGCAAAAGGGATATCCGGCCATCCGGAATTCTCCATGGACGTGAGATGGACAGATGGACGAGGTCCGCATACCGGCGTGCCGTGGCCGCATTGGTGCGACCAGCAGCACCTCAGCCTGTTCTGCCAGAATATTCTGGATGACCAGCAGTACAATTGGCAACGGCAGAAAGGCATAAAGGAGGCCCTCCGGCAAAGGGCTGCGGAGGGTGTCGGTGCCTTCCGCCCCTGGTACCTGGTGTAAAATCGCGGCAGGTGTCGGGTTGAGCGAACAGGTCCACCTGGGGGTTAACCTAAGTGGCGGGACAGTTCTCGGAACAGGGCTGGGTGCAAGCGCCACTCTGCCTGATCCATTGTGGCCCTGCTCAACCAGTCTGCTTGGACGTTCGCAGTGCCTGAATGTGTTCTGCTTGGACTGACAATAGATGGTTTTCCGCCCAGTGGTGCAGACGTTCTGCTTCCATCATCAGGGATTTGGACTTCGTGCCCCCTTGGCGGTTGATATGCGCCTTGGTAGACCACGTTGTCGGTGAGTATTAACACATGGTTGGATCAGAGGGCTAGGCGGATTCAGCCAATTCACCCTGCGCCACTCGATCCAGGGCATAGGCCCCCCACCCGAATTGGTTCACATCCGTTGTAACTACAATCCACTCCGGTTCCTTGAAGAGGGATCCCTTGAGGATGCGGGACGACATCCACCAACGGAGCGACAGGGACACCTTGGTCGGTAAGCGAACCCTGGCCTGAGAGTGACTGGTGTGAGCCCTTTGGAATGGGAAGAGATACCACTGCAGTGGTTGTGCGTGGAACCTTGCCCAAGGAACAACATCTATGCAAGATATAATCTTTCCTAGAAGTTGGGACAATACTGCAAGAGAAGGTGACCTCTGCTTGAGCACTTGACTCACCAGAGATTNCCTAGACACGAACAGGGTCTCCGTCCTTCTGAATGACGCCGTGCGTCGCACATAGCGGCGAAGTGAACGGCGAACGGCGAGATGATACCAACGCCGTTCTCAGGGGTGAGATGGCTATGGACAGAAATCCGGGAGAGTGATATCTTGTGACCTGTGGAACCACGAGTTGACTTTTGGAAGAAAGGTCGGGTCCAAACGTAGTATGACCCTGCTCGGATGGAAAATGCAGACGTCATCCCAGACAGAGAGTACCGTCAACTCAGACACATGCCTGGTTGATGTAATAGCTACTAAAAAGATAGTCTTAAGAGTCAGTAACCTGAGGGAGATGGTCCGAATAGGCTCGAATGGACCCACCGTAAGGGCACTGAGTACTAGGTAGAGGTCCCAGGTGGGGTAGCGATGAACGATAGGCGGACTAAGGTTCGCTGCTCCCTTCAGGAAGGCCCGCACCCCCGGGGGTTGAGATAGGGGGTGGCCCGGCCCACCGCCAATCACAGTAGACAGAGCCACAATTTGACGGTGGAGGGTAGGTGTTAGTCCTTTGTCCATGCCCATCTGTAGGAAGTCCAATACCTGCGTTATGGTTGCCCTGGTTGGGTCTGCACCTGTTGCTCGACACCATCTGCAGAAGGTGTGCCAGGTAGCCTCGTAGATGCGGGTTGTTGATGGGCGGCGAGCCGCCTGGATCATGGAGATGACCTTATCAGAGAAATGCTGCTGACTCAGGATCGCCCTCTCGTGTGCCACACAGCTAACCGTAACAGCCGTGGATTAGGGTGGACAAGGGCTCCTTGCGAGAGGGATATCCGGTTGTCCAGAATTCTCCATGGACGTGAGATGGACAGATGGACGAGGTTTGCATACCAGGGGCGCAGTGGCCACATCGGTGTGACCAGCAGCACTTCCACCCATTCTGCCAGAATCTTCTGGATGACCAGCAGTACAATTGGCAGAGGCGGAAAGGCATAAAGGAGGCCCAAGGGCTGCGGAGGGCGTCGGTGCCTTCCACCCCTGGTACCTGGTGTAAAATCGCGGCAGGTGTGTGTTGTCGGGTTGAGCAAAC